TGAAATAAAACAAGTGGGGCTGGTCACCAGTTTGTTATTTCGTGTTGGAGGCCATATTGGCTCTTGGTTGGTGTCGGTGAAGGTAAGTATAATACCAACCCTGGGAAACAAATGGGGTAAAACATCTGAGATTGACCTTTATAAGAACCACAGATGAAAGCGTAATAACAAATAAATGAAATTTGAAAGTTAAATGGTACATTTATATATCTTACATCAGCGTTTGCTCATTCGCATAGTTATTCAAAGCAACACAGATTCTAAGACGGTTAGATCATCTACTGACTCAACGGCAGTAAGGCTAATACCTGTTTCCAGAGTCAACAGAATCATTGGTAATGTTTCATCTGAGTCCTCATCTGCCTGAGATTTCTTCATCAGTGTCATTGGATGTCTTTTGACTCTTTTCCTTCTTCTTTGAGCTAATATATACATGTAGTCACAAAATATTTCCTTCCGTCTTTTTTTTAGATCTTCTACATTACCCTAGGAAAATAGCTTTCCTCATCAAAAATATTCCTCATGAAAATAGAAATCATCCACATGACCTACATGAATGACATATTATCTGGAAAGAAATGTCTCCTCCCCTCCATGATGATATCGCTACATGTTGCATTTTCCCCCAATATTAAACATGCCTTGGCATTGACCCCTTGCTTTTCACATGACGAAACTCAACACTCTTCACAAATTCTCCTTTCAAGTTCAACTTGAGCAGTTCACTGAAGTCTGATGCACTTCCTTTTGCAGCATTGTGCCTATACACTTGGCTGGTGTCCCTTGGAACTGAACTGAATGACTGAATGTTAACACCTCCTTCCTTGCCATAGAAATTGTTCATCACCTTCCGAGCTGAGGACCGTTTGGAGGTTTTCAGATCCTTGATGAGTTGTTTCTTGGATCTGATGTATGGTCTATCCGCATTCTTCTGGTTGCCATGAGGAGTGAAGACAAGCTCAGTTTTTTCCCCTCTCCATTCATAGCGAATCATGCAGATTGCGTGTACATCTTCTTCTTTGTGCAGTTCATAGATTGTTCTCTGAAAGTTTGGAGTGTCTTTGTGCTTGTAGTACTTTCGAACTAAGGTGTACACTTCATTTTTATCCAGTACTACAGTGCACTTTGATCGTCTACTTTTCAGGTACTTTCCTGTCTCATCACAGGTGAGATCTTCTGAGTATCAAAGTTTTGAAGAATCAATGAGAAAAGCCAATTCCTCATCTCAACCTGAAGGCACAGAGTCATTCACCTTTGATCTTGGGAACAGCAACACTTTTGCGACACGTTTACTATCCTTGAAGAAAGTATTCTGTTCATCAAAGATATGCCACTTCTGTTTGAACAGAATCTTTCCAATCTGTCCATCACTTGAACTGGCATTTCTACTCTGTTGGACAGGTAGGTATGGCCTCATCTAAATTTCTGAAAGGAGAAAATGTATAAAAATAAATAGCAAAATTTTTGGCAAAACAATTAAAATTTGTCTATGTAAAGTTCAATTACTCAGACCATTCTGCAAGCTTTTAACATGACGATCCGGCAAACCCTGTCTTTGTGACAAAGAATCCTGGATGGTCTATCCTAAATGCTCTCTCCGCCAGATACCATTCCGCTTTGAGGCATTTAAAAAATGACACGTCGCACGGCTGTAAGATGTGTGTTGCGTGGGGTGGGAATCTGTATAAAACGATGTTATGGTCGCTGCAGAATTGGTGGACTTCTGGTGACTGATGGGAAGAGTGCCCATCTACCAAAAGCAGGACTGGGAGTGGAATGTTATTGCTTACGATATACGGGTAAAACATGTTGGCGACAAAAGAAAAAAATGACTTGGAATCAATCCAGCCGTTCTCTGTAGCCGAAAACATCGCATCATTTGGGGCACCGTCCATATATCGACCACAAAGCTCCGTCCGCTTTGCCTGAACGATGATGAGGGGTGGCATGACATCCCCCGCTGCATTGAGGGACACCAGGACGGACACTTGCGTCTTGTCAGTGTTGCGCAGCTCGTGGACTAGATTGCTGCCCTTTTCTGAAGTCTCATGCATTACTTTTTTCAGCATTGTGTCTATACACTTTTCTGGTGTCCCTTGGAACTGAACTGAATGACTGCATGTCAACACCTCCTTCCTTGCCATAGAAATCATTCATTTCTTTCTGAGCTGAGGAGGTTTTATGGATCCTCAATAAGTTCTTTCTTTGAATCAATGAATTGTCTATCCGCATTCTTCTGGTTGCCATGAGGAGTGAAGACAAGCTCAGTTTTTTCGCCTCTCCATTCATAGCGAATCATGCACATTTGGAGTACATTTTATTTGTTGTGTAGCTCATACAATGTTCTTTGGAAGTTTGGTGCATCTTCATGATTGTAGTACAGTATATTCGGACTAATGTGTAAGCTTAGCTATCTGCAGTGTTTACCTCAGATCCGACATTGTCATTCTTATCTAGTATAATAGTGTTTTTTGAGCAGCTACTTTTTAAGTATTTTCCAGTCTACAAGTCAGATCTTCTAAGTAGCGAAGTTTTGATGCATCAATCAGAAATACTATTTGATCATCACAACCTAAAGGCACAGAGTTGTTCCCCTTTGTTCTTGGGAAGTCATAGGCATCCATAGTCAAATAATAGATGAGAAACATAATGCTAACTGAAAATAGATGCTACATAAATTGAAAATTCACCCAAAATGTAGGAATATAGTCTTATCCAGAGCCATCTATATACAGAGTTTCGGCCAACCTGGTTCGACTAGGACACAATATGGCTACTACTGCTTTATTGGGCAAGCACAAAACAAAAGAATATGCGCCATGTGGTGACCCCAGTGAAACCAAGTTGGCCAAACTCTGTGTATAGATGGTTCTGATCTTATCTAGATATTGGAGATTATCCTTACCTGGTGGCTTTCTGCGTTTCTGAGGTGCAGACAGATCGTTGCTTGGGAACCACATGCCCATATGTCATAATAATAATAAATATGTAATAATAATAGTATGACTATCTTCTTCTTTGTGCAGTTCATAGATTGTTCTCTGAAAGTTTGGAGTGTCTTTGTGCTTGTAGTACTTTCGAACTAAAGTGTACGCTTCATTTTCATCCAGTACTACAGTGCACTTTGATCGTCTACTTTTCAGGTACTTTCCTGTCTCATCACAGGTGAGATCTTCCGAGTATCAAAGTTTTGAAGAATCAATGAGAAAAGCCAATTCCTCATCGCAACCTGAAGGCACAGAGTCATTCACCTCTGATCTTGGGAAGAGCAACACTTTTGCGACACGTTTACTATCCTTGAAGAAAGTATTCTGTTTATCAAAGATATGCCACTTCTGTTTGAACAGAATCTTTCCAATCTGTCCATCACTTGAACTGGCATTTCTACTCTGTTGGACAGGTAGGTATGGCCTCATCTAAATTTCTGAAAGGAGAAAATGTATAAAGGTAAATAGCAAAATTTTTGGCAAAACAATTAAAATTTGTCTATGTAAAGTTCAATTACTCAGACCATTCTGCAAGCTTTTATCATGACGATCCGGCAAACCCTGTCTTTGTGACAAAGAATCCTGGATGGTCTATCCTAAATGCTCTCTCCGCCAGATACCATTCCGCTTTGAGGCATTTAAAAAATGACACGTCGCACGGCTGTAGGATGTGTGTTGCGTGGGGTGGGAATCTGTATAAAACGATGTTATGGTCGCTGCAGAATTGGTGGACTTCTGGTGACTGATGGGAAGAGATGAGAAACATAATGCTAACTGAAAATAAATGCTACATAAATTGAAAATTCACCCAAAATGGAGGAATATGGTGATATCCAGAGCCATCTATACACAACGTATGGCCAACCTGGTTCGACTAGGACATAATATGGCGACTACTGCTTTATTGGGCAATCACAAAACAAAAGAATATGCAGCATGTTGTGACCCAGTGAAACCAAGTTGGCCAAACTCTGTGTATAGATGGCTCTGGTCTTATCTAGATATTGGAGATAATTATCCTTACCTGGTGGCTTTCTGCGTTTCTGAGGTGCGGACAAATAGTTGCTTGGGAACCACATACCATACAGGCCTTAAATTAATCGACAGCCATCGACGGCCAGGCCGTCGATGCCCCTTTGACTGGCCGTAGTGCCCTCTCTTATGTGCAACATCACGTTCCCGAACACGTCGCTTCTTCTGTGCTGACATCCGCAACCGGTATCGTCTCTTTTGTTCTCTCCACAGTTCTCTCCTCCTTCCTCTTTTCTGGTCACTCAAGCGGGTCCGAGGAGTGGTAAGTGAAGGTGCAGGTGTGCTGGACATGTTTCTATCATGTTTACTTTCCCTCAGTTTTTTTATTCTTAATATTGATTTTTCATTCAATTGTTTCCGCTTTTCAGCAGTCAGATTCTTCCGATATTGTCGTTGGCGTGCAGCTTCCTTGGCACAAAAAGCTGCATATGCAGAGGGATCTTCCTTTAATTTTGCTCGTTTCTTCCTCATCCTCTCTGCAGCGTTAGATTTTGATGTATCAGCTGTTGGTGATGGGGGTCGAGTTGGCGAACGAAGCTTTACAGTTAATGTCATGTTTGCTTGCACAAGTATTGGTACACTGTGATATGAAGTCTTCTACCTTTCTCTGGCAGCTGAAATGAAGAACAATACATGTGGATTGGCAGATTAAATATCTATTGCAAATAAAAGTGTCTCATTTCAAAAAGGTGATGTTTCAACCCTTAAAATTGCTACTTGTGAAACATTATTTACTCCAATTTCCCCAAGAAATATTGACTTGATACTGTTACAATTAATTATTATTCCAAATGATTTTTTTCTGTAGACTTCACTCAGCTGGAGAAAAATGAAATCATATATTCTGGGGCTGATTAATGTTTCAAAGTGAATTAATTCATGTAATTATTCTAATTGAGATAAAACTTAATTGTGTACAACAAAACACTCTTGTATGCTGTAAATTATTTAACAGTAATATCCTTCTTCAACCATAACAACAATGCGACCTTTTGAAGAAAACACAATTTATTGAAGATAACCAACATTAAGTAATCAAGCAAGCTGTTGGTAAGTATAAATTTGTTTTTTTTTGTTCTTGATTTAGGCAACTGCAGTTGCTTTTTTTGCGTGAGCTAAATTGGGTTGCGGTTGCACCTATTGAAAATGCGAGATCGGCGAGAGTTACCAGTGTTGCATACATGAAAAGCTACATATGGGACTGTAATGTAATAATATCACTACACGTTAAAATTTAGCACTAGCAGACCACTAGCTAGACAAGAAGAGGAAAATATAATCGTACACCACTAAAGTTACACATGACTCATTTTCGGAAACATGATCTTTTACTGTATTTCAAAAAGATTTTGAATAACAAATACGTACCATTCCACGATTTTCAAAGCCTAGATCTAATCTAATGTTGAGTTGATACTCCAATGATTACGATCGGATGTCGTCTGCTGCTCACGAAACCCCGCGAAAAAACGTACGTAAATAAGACCGAATAGCATTTCTGTCCATCGTGCGTACGTGTCGTTCTAACTACCAGCAACCGTGAACGTACGCACAAACTGGACAGAAGTTATATAGAGCTACACGGCCCCGCGATTGTAGAAGTCAGCGCATGGATTGCAAGTACAATCAAACGTTGCAGTGCCTTGGTTCACTTGACTGATACGTGGATTATCCATGCGTCATATTCGCGGACGCCACGGTCCGTTTTTTTAGTTGTTACGTACGTTCGTGAGTTGGACCGAATATTGCACTCCAAATTTTGAATAGATTTTATCTCTATTTGCGTTTATTTTGACGATTTTTTTCTTGGTCTACATTTCAACCTTCATCAAAAGAGTTGCAAAGCACATAAAACTGTTGGGTGACACAACTAATAATTGTGGGAAAATTCACTCTGAACGTACGTAACACAGGTGGACAGAATCTCTCATTCAGCCAATGTAATTTTCAACTCTCTCACTCTCTCTCTTTAAAGCTCAATCGCCGTAACTATGATCAATGCCGTAATCCACCCGCATCAAAATCTCTTTTCAAAACATGAAACATCAATTTCTTTTTAGAATTTTTATTTGCATCACCCTCAAAATCACACCACTCAACATTTACTGATTGTACTTTGGAATTTTTAATAATAATCATTAAAGAAAAGAGGACAACACAACCAAATGACATTATTAGTGCATGGAATTGTCTTTTTTATTTCTTTATACCATCAACAATGAAAATAAAAACACAGAAAGCCACAGGATATTTATTTAATTTTTCTGTAAGCGCTTTATTCTTTCACACACAGAAGTACCCTATTACCGTGGAAATGCCCATATGCATAACAAAAGGGAGGCTTGATTTTTAATCTATTTATTACTTGATTGAGATATTTTGGATGTGTGTTGCAACTTAATAAATTTTAACATACACATATTGTTCTATACACATTTTTAAAATTACAGTCCACTTCAATTATTAGGAGGATTTCAGGACCAAGCCAATTTATAAACAAAATTTTGTTTTTCTGAACACATAGACACATGTGCGCAGTTTGAATTCGGAATTGGGAAAACTGCCTCGTTTTAATGAGATCTTGTTGTATCAGCGCTCGTTATAATTGAAGTAGACTGTATATACTTCTCTTGAGAACCTATCATGATCGTATGAATAAAATATAAAGTGAAAATCCATTTTAAGTTAGTTATGAAACACATTTTATTATAAAAAATATAATTGCTCAGAAAAATTTTATCCTCGAACATGTAATGTAGATAATTAATACATATATAAAGAGATCTGATGTAAGGAAATACCTGATATAAAAGCTATTTTCTCTGGTCAAAATGAAATCAATTTGCTTTGTTTTGTATTGACTACTGATATAACAAGATACCTGGTACATGTAAAACAAGCAAACTTTGTCCAGTTCCAAGGACCTCATTTTGGGATTTTCCACTGAAGGCTTATATTAATTTAGTGAATACGCAGATCTTGTATGAATCATGCATTATAATAAAATTAGAATCATATTAATTTTATGAATACATATATTATTTTATGTTTACCTTGCCCTTTGTGTGAAAAGTTGCTGTGCCATCGTTAGATTCTTTTAACTTCTCTTTAAAAATGGCCGTACCCAACAAGTCTTTTTCGATGCGGGAGAGATTTGTTGGTGTGACATGTGTGTGTTTTGCGTATGTGTGATCATGTGTGTCATGTATACAAGTGTGTATTTTAGTGTTGATGTATGGTAGGTTTGTATTGCAGACTGTGCATATGATGTTTGTGGAGTGTATTGTGTCGAGGTGAAACTGTGGTATTAGTGTGACTGATGTGTAGTGAATTGGTGGTTGACAGGTACAACATGGAACACTGACACGACTTGCACTGACAAAGGACTTATGTACACAACTCAAACAAAATACATGCTCACATGAACCCACACATGGATTAACCAACACATTATTACACAGTTTACACAACATGAAATGATCTGACGAGATAAATTTGGACATAGAATACACAAGACAATTGTTAAAAAGTGCTGAAAAATGGGCTGACATTGAAATGGCTGGATTTGGGGGTCTGCCAGTTGACTTGGTTTTGAGGGGCCTCCCACCCTTAGCTGGTATCATTAGGTTACATGTAGTGCAGGCCTCCTCCGTTCGTTTGTGTTTCGTCCAATCATTTTTCGGTTCCCAGTCATTGATTTTGTTGCGCCTATTGGAATTACTTAGCTTGCAATAGCATTTATGACAGAAAGATTTGGGGTGAATTACATGATCATCACTACAAAAATTAAAATCAGAATTGTCCCACAAATGTTGGTAATTACAAACAAAATAAGAATATCCAGAGCTGATTAGCCTACCCCCACAAAACCTACACAATTTGCTGAGAGCAAGCTTATGGGCGTCCAACCCACTCATCTTCCCCACACGTACACGTACGTAAACAAAAAAGTGACCCTACTTTGACGGCAAATTCTGATGAAAAAAAAAATGAAAGCTATAATCTAAGTTTATAAACTATTAACTCAGTATTAAAAAAACTTAATACACCAATAGATAGTACAGAAAAACTCAAGTAAGAATATAGCTGAGGTTTGAAATGAAATGAATGAATGAAATGATAATTTATGTACTTAAATGACTCTTGTAACTCTCCCCTCGTACGTGAACTGAAGGTCCGATGTACGAAGGGATTACTTAATTTTTATCATTCGCCTGGCCTTGAATTTCCCGGGGCCCCTGGGGAACCTCTTACTCATGCATATTCATCGTTTGTTCTGACCTCTTAGCCAATCATTTCTCTTTTATCCATGCTTCTCTAAAGCTGGAACCTCCTCACGTCGTCCCTAGCAACCTCAAAAATTTAAATGCCTCGCCAAATGAAGTGCACCTCGCACGCTAAAAGCAGAGACAATGTAAACAATGGAGCGCTGCACTAAGCTGACGTACGTCTATGGCGCGCGCACGTACGTGCCTTCTGAGTAATCGGCATACATAGTTGCTCTTGAGATTTTGTCCGGACCGTTCCACATAAATGAAAACATGAGCTTCTCAATTTCTTTGACAAATTCAGTGGGCAATGAAATGTTGGACAAGAGATAAATTACTTTGGACATTATAAAGGTTTTTAAGATTTGTGTTTTGCCAATCAATGTTAGTCCTCTGTTTTTCCATTTAGCAAGTATATTTCTCATTTCTTTAATTTGAGTTTCAAAGTTTATTTTCCTTGCTTTATTTACACCTCCTTCCTTGCCATAGAAATTGTTCATCACCTTTCGAGCTGAGGACCGTTAGGAGGTTTTCAGATCCTCTATAAGTTATTTCTTGGATTTGATGTGTAGTCGATCTGCAATCTTTTGGTTGCCATGAGGAGTGAAGACAAGCTCAGTTTTTTCCCCTCTCCATTCATAGCGAATCATGCAGATTGCGTGTACATCTTCTTCTTTGTGCAGTTCATAGATTGTTCTCTGAAAGTTTGGAGTGTCTTTGTGCTTGTAGTACTTTCGAACTAAAGTGTACGCTTCATTTTCATCCAGTACTACAGTGCACTTTGATCGTCTACTTTTCAGGTACTTTCCTGTCTCATCACAGGTGAGATCTTCCGAGTATCAAAGTTTTGAAGAATCAATGAGAAAAGCCAATTCCTCATCGCAACCTGAAGGCACAGAGTCATTCACCTCTGATCTTGGGAAGAGCAACACTTTTGCGACACGTTTACTATCCTTGAAGAAAGTATTCTGTTTATCAAAGATATGCCACTTCTGTTTGAACAGAATCTTTCCAATCTGTCCATCACTTGAACTGGCATTTCTACTCTGTTGGACAGGTAGGTATGGCCTCATCTAAATTTCTGAAAGGAGAAAATGTATAAAAGTAAATAGCAAAATTTTTGGCAAAACAATTAAAATTTGTCTATGTAAAGTTCAATTACTCAGACCATTCTGCAAGCTTTTATCATGACGATCCGGCAAACCCTGTCTTTGTGACAAAGAATCCTGGATGGTCTATCCTAAATGCTCTCTCCGCCAGATACCATTCCGCTTTGAGGCATTTAAAAAATGACACGTCGCACGGCTGTAGGATGTGTGTTGCGTGGGGTGGGAATCTGTATAAAACGATGTTATGGTCGCTGCAGAATTGGTGGACTTCTGGTGACTGATGGGAAGAGTGCCCATCTACCAAAAGCAGGACTGGGAGTGGAATGTTATTGCTTACGATATACGGGTAAAACATGTTGGCGACAAAAGAAAAAAATGACTTGGAATCAATCCAGCCGTTCTCTGTAGCCGAAAACATCGCATCATTTGGGGCACCGTCCATATATCGACCACAAAGCTCCGTCCGCTTTGCCGGAACGATGATGAGGGGTGGCATGACATCCCCCGCTGCATTGAGGGACACCAGGACGGACACTTGCGTCTTGTCATTGTTGCGCAGCTCGTGGACTAGATTGCTGCCCTTTTCTGAAGTCTGATGCATTACCTTTTTCAGCATTGTGTCTATACACTTTTCTGGTGTCCCTTGGAACTGAACTGAATGACTGCATGTCAACACCTCCTTCCTTGCCATAGAAATCGTTCATTTCTTTCTGAGCTGAGGAGGTTTTATGGATCCTCAATAAGTTCTTTCTTTGAATCAATGAATTGTCTATCTGCATTCTTCTGGTTGCCATGAGGAGTGAAGACAAGCTCAGTTTTTTCGCCTCTCCATTCATAGCGAATCATGCACATTTGGAGTACATTTTATTTGTTGTGTAGCTCATACAATGTTCTTTGGAAGTTTGGTGCATCTTCATGATTGTAGTACAGTATATTCAGACTAATGTGTAAGCTTAGCTATCTGCAGTGTTTACCTCAGATCCGACATTGTCATTCTTATCTAGTATAATAGTGTTTTTTGAGCAGCTTCTTTTTAAGTATTTTCCAGTCTACAAGTCAGATCTTCTAAGTAGCGAAGTTTTGATGCATCAATTAGAAATACTATTTGATCATCACAACCTAAAGGCACAGAGTTGTTCACCTTTGTTCTTGGAAAGTCATAGGCATCCATAGTCAAATAATAGATGAGAAACATAATGCTAACTGAAAATAAATGCTACATAAATTGAAAATTCACCCAAAATGGAGGAATATGGTGATATCCAGAGCCATCTATACACAACGTATGGCCAACCTGGTTCGACTAGGACATAATATGGCGACTACTGCTTTATTGGGCAATCACAAAACAAAAGAATATGCAGCATGTTGTGACCCAGTGAAACCAAGTTGGCCAAACTCTGTGTATAGATGGCTCTGGTCTTATCTAGATATTGGAGATAATTATCCTTACCTGGTGGCTTTCTGCGTTTCTGAGGTGCGGACAAATAGTTGCTTGGGAACCACATACCATACAGGCCTTAAATTAATCGACAGCCATCGACGGCCAGGCCGTCGATGCCCCTTTGACTGGCCGTAGTGCCCTCCCAAAAAAAGAGAAATTCACGGCCAAAAAGGCCTTTTTTTTCAAACTGGCCGACATGCCTTTTTTTCAAACTGGACGTGCCCTTTTTTCTAAATTCATCTCGGACGGCCGGCTATTTCAATCTTCGATTTTTAAGTCTAAAATGCGTCACACGTGAGATAAAGCGTTGTTTGCGTATACATGATTCGCTGTCGAGCGATCGCTCGTTGTTTGTGTTTGGTACTTCTGCATGGTAAATCGTACGTAAATGTGTCAGATGTATGGTCGTATGTACTGTGTGTAGCGTGCATGGTCTAAGTTTGTGATTGTGTAGTGAACTAATCGAAATGAATATTCGTAACCGTTAGAAATAAACAAAACACTCAGTA